ATTAGCTTAAAGGTCATTGTAAAACCTATTTTTTAATTAAAATTATACAATTGATTTTGTCCAAGTTGAGAGAATGGTAGATTTATCTAATAATTCTTTGTGAACTATGATTAATTGTTGTTTTATTTTTAAAAGAAATGAACTAATTCATAATCCAGATGGAGTACATAAATAAGTCATTCTAATAATTAATTTAAGTGATTCATTTGTTTAGACTTTGATATCTATAATTGATTAATGTGAATTAAAGCATAAGTCTTAACCCAAAAGCTTATAATGGAAAGGAACTACAGTTAGTACTTGGTATATTTGGCTAAATCTCTTGTTTAGTCATTAATAAAAATCATACAATTACATGAGTTGCTCCATAACTTGCTCCATTAAAGAATTGTGATTTGGGAGAGTGAATTATAAAGGAAGATCTAACTTATTAGTTCTCATAAAATTTAGAGTTAAAACACAACGACTTTTATAACAAAGGTTATGTCTTCAACACAAACTTAAAAATTTATTATAATTATTATTAATATTTATAATTATCTTTGGTGTTCTAATTTCATATAGTATTATATTAAGAATTTTTACTTACATGTGAAGCTTTATTCTTTTTTATTAAATAGATGTACAAGAGGCTTGAATACATTGTGCAGATGAAGTGGTGCACATTCAAGAAGCTTCACCGGTTGCATGATTGACATGGAGTGACACATTTCAAACATTAGTAAGTTTGGATGGTCGCCATGTGTCCTATACCCTAGAGTGGCATATATATGATTGTCTTCACTCCATGAAATGTAACATATGTCGTCTCTTGATTGAGCAAGATTTTAATAAATTGTTTTTAATTTTTCTCCATTGGAGTAAAAAAGCCCAACAACAGTAGCTCTAGTCCAAGCACATTGCTAATAAAGTTAATGACAAACTTGTCATAACTTACTACATGGCTCAAATAATAGCATAAACATTTACTTTTAGTCTTTCCTATATTTGTGTTAAATTTTATAAAAACTAGACAACTGTAGAAATTACCAAATTGATACTTGTTATAATACTTGTAAACTTGAGTGGATATACACTCTTTAAATTGACAATCGTCATATCTCTACTCTCTTAAAGATTAAAGGATATAATTGTTTTACGTGTGAAAAAAAGATATAGAATGTCCTATTGATTTATAAGGCACCATAGAAATTACTAAATTATAATCAACGAGTCATAGCATTTTTTTTTTACATTTTGACAATGATTTATGATAATGATGTTAGGGATGGAAATAGACTAGATTTTGCATAAAAAGATCTAGTTTGTTTAATAATTTTGAAGTCTAAATCTTACTTATTATTTATCATAGACTTTTTATTAAACTTAGTGTGACTTTTTTAGAAACATACTTTGTCTTATTAGTTTTTTTTAATGGTCTACTCGTATTAAACCTTCAATAAGTCATTAATTTTTTTTTATAAATAGGCTATTAAACCATTTAAATATGTATGTTTTTTAAAAAGGTCATAAGGCCTACATCTAAATAAGTTATAAAAAAAAATAGTTTAACATCTTAAATATGTTTAATAAAATTACATATTTCTCTTTCATCAAAACACGTAATCAAGACAACAAATACAAATTAGCGTTATGCATACAACAGATCAAACAACAGTAACTGAAAAAACTCTAGTAAGAAGGATTCTCTTTCTTAAAATGTATGTAGTAAGGACACTCTTTATTTCTAATGAAAAATTAGAATTAAAATTTAAGATTTCATTTATTTCAAAATTTTATTTAATGTAATTATATTTAATTTTTTCATAAGTTCAAATCTGACCTATTTAATTAATTAAGTCTTTTTAAAAATTTAAATTATATTTATTACTTAAATAGGTCAAGTCAGACTATACTTTAAAAAGGACAGGTAACTTAGCTTATTTTTATATTTAATAATGATCCACCTTATCTATTTATATGTAAAATTGACTGCACCTGCTTATTATCTTATGTATTAAATTTTGAAACACATAAAGTCATCTTTATATATGTGACTCTATTTACTTATTACTCTATGCATTAAAATTTGAAACTTATAAAGTCATTCTTATGTGCACTCACTTATTATTTTATGAATTAAAATTTGAAACGTATAACTTATGAATTAAAATTATATTTTATTCATACATATTTATTTTTGAATTGCATTTAAAATTTTTTTATTAGATTTGATAAATTGTATTTAAAATTTTTTTTACTAGAATTTCTGGTTATATTATATACGTTGAATTATTTTATTGTTTAGTTTAATTTAATTTATATTTCAATATTTACTTCAAATACTAAAATGTAATTTGAATAAAAAATATATTTATAAAATTATTAGTTTATATTATATATTATTAAATTAAATTTCTAATGAAAAGACAAGTTTACATATTTAAATTATTTTAGTAATTAGTTTGAGATAATATATAGTTCAATATATATCTCAAAAATTAAAATATTTGTAAAATTATGAGTTTATAATATATATTGTTAAATTACATTTTTAATGAAAAGACAAGTTTACATATTTAAATAATTTTATTAATTAGTTTAATATAATATATAGTTCATATATATTTCAAAAATTAAAATATACATTGAATGTGTGAATAAAAAAATAATTTTTATTATATTAATTTCTTATTTTGTGACTTTTCATATATCTTCAGAAATGACTTCTTCTCTATTTATATAAGTCATATTTATACAATTTTTAAAAATTTATTCATCATTTTTTCTATTGTTATATTTTTTTCTTTATATTTTGTAACCATATCAGTAGTCAAGAATTACTTACCCACGTAAGTACATGTATTTTCAACTTTGATATTTTTTTATTTTATTTCACTAAATTGTGTTATATATTTCAATTTATTTTTTGAGTAAGCATAAAGTCGTATTATTTTTAAATGATATAATGTATTGAATCTTATTTTTAATTGATTAATTTGTATCAAATCGCTTATTATTTTCTTATATTTATCACAAGTAATTTTTTACTTTTATGTTTTTCATTATATTGTAGGAGAACAACAAGTTCCAATGAAGATAAATGTATTTTTCTTAACAATCTGAATTCAACAACAGATGAATAAAAAATAAAAGTGTGAATTTTAATGCATAGAATAATAAGTGAGTGTACGTAAGAGTGACTTTATAAGTTTCAACTTTTAATATATGGAGTAATAAATAAATGGAGTCACATATATAAAGATAACTTTATACGTTTCAAAATTTAATGCATAGAATAATAAGTAGGTGCAGTCAATTTTACATATATTACATTACATGACATTACATACATTACATTTAAATATTACAGCCAATTCTATATTTTTTTTTATCAAAAAGTAAACTTTTAAATTCAGTATACATATTATATTATTATTAATTTTTATTTACAATAATTTTGTATAGTAATTTTATTTATATATAAAAAGTTTAATATATTTTTATTTTTAAATATTAACATATAGTTTTGTGTATATTGATATTCGAAGCAGATTTATAAAATTTTATACATTAGTTGAATAAATATTTTACTTTTTTTATATATTAGTCTAATAAGTTATTATTAAAAAAAATATGATATCATGTTTTAATAATTACATAGTAAAATTTTATTAATAATTTTAAATTATAATTATAAATAGATAGTTTATCATATAAATTTAATTCAATAAATATAAACAAATATATAAATAAAAAATTATAAAGATTTTTATTTAAATTTTACAATTTATATTAAAAAAATTATTATATTTAATAATTTTTTGTTATAATTATTTATTTAAAATTTTATAATAATAAATGATTTATAATATTATGAAACAATGTAAATTATAGTTTTATATTTTAAAAATAAGACATTTGTATGTTTATTTTGTTTTATGCTAAGAAATACTAAATTATACATATTTTAAATAATTTTAAATAATAATTTATTTTGACAAATAATTTTTTATTATATTTATATATTTTTTATATTTAAATTATATATTTTATATTTTAAAATAAATTAATTTAATAAAAAGAAAACAAACCGGCACGGACATATTTCCTAATTAAAATTAAAACGCCACTTGATACAAGATTAAGAATAAATTAAATAAAATATTAAAAATGAAATTAAAATCAACCTTAAAATAAAAATACTAGTTTTGTTAAGTTTTTCCTTTTTAAGCATTTCACTTACATCAAAGGTAAATAGACAAAAAATAAGCATAGAACAATTTTTAATGTCTATTAAATATTTCATAGATTAAATTTCAAATTCTTTAAAAATAATTTTGAACACACATTTAGAATGGAAAAATATTAAAAAAAATTCAACATTTTCTATAAAAAATTATTAATTTATTTACATCAATTAACTATTTAATTTTAATTTATTATAAACATTTAATTCCATAACTGAAATATACTTTTGTGAAAAGCATTTTGACTGTATATTTTTTATTCACAAAACACGAGCCTCTCGCGCTGCACAGTTAAACCATCCTGAAAAAATATATACCTAAAATATCAATTTTCCATAAACAAAATTACCATATTTACAAAATAATGTATTTCTTTTAATGCGAGCGTTTCGTTTGTTTACTATTTCTGTAAAAAAGGAACTAAAGCAGTTTCTTTTAACAACAAATGAATTCACACACTTTCTTCAATACATGTTTGTTATTTAACAAAATTCTCATAATTATCATAAAATAAGAAATAACACACATCTCATTTATTGAGTTTTAAAATATTATATTAATTCAATATTATATAATACAGAAAAACCTGTACTTATCCTAATTGCAGTAAATTATTAATTTTAAAAAATGTTAACTTATTCACAGTTTAAGATTTACATTTTCTTTCTTTTCCATTTGTTTAACGAATGTAAATAAAAAAATAAAAAAATCATTTTTATTGTTATTTTTCCCCCCATAAAAGGCATCCGAAGGAAGTTAAAACGGCAGCGAAACACAGCTCAGAGCAGACAGAGAGATAAGCAACACCGCAGTGCACACCTTACACACCGTCTGATCATATACATAACGTTCAAACTTAGAACTTCTTCCTTTGCTTCATTTCTCACTCAATCTCCAACCATTCTCTTTCTCTGAGCTTTTTTATTAAAAGAAGCTTAAAGCTCTTCACCTTTTTCTCACTTTAACTCCTCTTACAAAAAAGTAGAGATGCTACCAACAAGAGCTAACAACACTCACAACGTTCCTTGGATGGAACCCCAACACGAAGAAGAGAAAGCATGGACCAGAACTAACATTAATAACGATGACAACACTAATCACCACAGAAACGACGTCGTTATGGATGCTGCTGCTCTTCTCTCCTTCAAATCCATGCTGGAAGTGGAAGGTGACTGGTACATGAACCCGCCTCACCAGGACCTTCTCCAAAACGACGCGTCGTTTCTGATGGAGCCTTTAGATTCCTCTTCTTCTGCACCCTCCTTCACTCTCGACCCAACTAAACCGTCCTTCCCTTCTTTCTTCAATGTTAATGCCAACAACCCCTTCGACAATGCCTTCGATTTGGGTTCTAATAGCGGTTTCCTCGCTCCGTTTCCTTCTTCCAGTTCCCCTGTTCTCTTCTTGCCCCTCGAACTGAGTTCGAACCCCGAGTTCGCGGCAACTCGTGCTGCCCAACTCAGTGCCGGCGAGTTTCCTCAAGAGGGAGCTTTCGGCGCTTCGGACGTTCCGTTGTTGAGCACGGCTAAGGTTCTGAGGCCACTCGAGGAGGTTCCTCCGGTGGCTGCGCCGCCTACTCTGTTTCAAAAGCGGGCCGCGCTCCATGGCGGTCACAGCGGGGCCGGGAAGTTGGGGGAATTGGAGGTTTCGGTGCCACGGTGGTTCGGATTGGAGAGGAAGAGTGGTAAAGAAGGAGAGGTTGAGGAAGGGTTGAATTATGAGTCTGATGAGGTTGTAAAGTTGGAGGAGAATGGGGGCAATAATTTGAATGCAAACAACAATGATAATGATAATTGTGTTAATAATAATAAGAAGAAGAAGAATAATAATGGTGTCGATGGTGGAGAACAGAAGGGGAAGAAGAAGGGGTTGCCAGCGAAGAATCTCATGGCTGAGAGGCGGCGTAGGAAGAAGCTCAATGATAGGTTGTACATGCTTAGGTCTGTTGTGCCAAAGATTAGCAAGGTATAGAAAAATATTTGGTTTGAAGCTTCTTTTTTTACCTTTTTCTTGTTTGGTGGACTAATTCTAATGTTTGTGGAATGATTGGTTATATGGAATAATTATGAAGTATGTGTTTTAAACATAAATGACATGTAGTTATTACATGCATGGCTGTTTTTATGAATCTGAAATTTAACCTGTGTTGGTGTGGTGGTTGCTTTTAATTTGGTTATTGACATCACCAAATTTGCTCACTTGATGTGTTTGGGATAACAGAAGCTAATCTTATATTTGTTGTAATATTTAGATGGACAGGGCTTCAATACTTGGGGATGCAATTGACTACTTGAAGGAGTTACTTCAGCGGATTAATGAGCTTCATAATGAGCTAGAGTCAAGCTCGCCTAGCTCATCGCTTCCACCTGTGACGCCCACCCTGCCGATCCTTCCCTGCCGGGTGAAGGAAGAACTGTGTCTGAGCTCTTTGCCAAGCCCAAAACACCAATCAGCAAAGGTTTTTTTCACCTTAGTGCAAATTTGTTATTCATCCTTGTCAGTTGGTGTGTTAAGAACAAAAACTCTTTCATGTTGCTTTGAATTATTTGGATCTTTGACAATAATTGATTTAGTGGCTTGTTTATGTATCTGAATTATTTTATGACTCGGTCCCCCCCAAACAAAAAAACAAACTTTTATTTATTCATTTAGGAGGGTAACTCCTTTACCCTACAATCTGTTGTGGGTTTAGATTTCTTTTTTCTTTTAACCTGCAAGCAAGATGGACCATGTGCCCCAATAGCTCTAGTCCATTTTGTCACTAGTTGCTTGCAAGACCATGTTAAAATGTCACAAGTGATCCTGCTTTGATTTTGACTTCTCACATGGCGAACAAGTATAAATGTATGATGCATTCAATTTGATGATGATAAAGAACATCGAATTTGAATGATTGTCTCCCTTTTTTATTATGACTTGCATCATATAGTGTGCTACCTGTTTGCCAAAAATATTGAACTTCAGAGTTTGCATATTTCATGCATGTGGACTGTACCACATTTATTGTAAGACCAATATAGAAATTACTCAATTACACTTTGCTAATGTTATGGTGCATTACATTTTAGGAAGCTCAAGAAAATTTCTTATGCTTTGCTTAACATGCCTTACCACAAATAATAGGGTGCAATGTTTCATCTGTTTTTGAACAGGACAAATGCTGATCACCTGTTCAGACATACTGCATGTCCTGTATTAGAATTTCTTTTGTCTGGCGAATGAAGATGTACCTTTTAAACATTAGCACCTCTTAACTCTGATATTTTTCTTGTTAATTTTTGCTTCAGCTTTTTGTCATTTTTTGCTTTAATGACACCCATTAAGCATATGAAGTATTGCAGATATATGTGATGATCATTCAAGAACTGAGAAGTATTGGTGCAGATGTACTTGCATCACAGGACTTATTAATTGATCTAAAATGCTAGGAAATGGATACACTTGTCATGTGAATGTGTAAACGTAGTTGAAATGTTTGACATACCTTTTTGTATATTGTTTTACTGCCTTTTCACCTTGTAATAATATTATTTCAATGATAAAAAAAAAATTCTAATTAAATTTACAGAAACAGTTCTAAAAGATAATAATTGTATCAACATTGTTATTTAAAATCTGCTTATTGTATCTGATGTTGAGAAATCTTATTTTAATGTCATAAAATGAGCTTAGTAGTTATGAGTAGCTTGAATCTTATGATGTTTAATGCAAACCAATTATCAACAATTAGATTTGGGGGATTCTTTTCTGCTCACAGAACTTCTTGGTGGAGTAACTTAGGAAATTGTTTTGACTTGACAACTTTAGTTTTCCTGAAATTTATAGGTGGAGGTTAAGGTAAGGGAAGGGAGAGCTGTCAATATCCACATGTTTTGTGGCCGCAGACCAGGTCTTTTGCTTTCCACCATGAGGGCATTGGATAACCTCGGATTGGATGTTCAGCAGGCTGTTCTCAGCTGTTTCAATGGTTTTGCTTTAGACGTGTTTAGAGCTGAGGTATGTTGTAGTTTTTTCCTGTGCCGTGTTTTACATCAATCATTTCCTTTTTATTTCTTACCTTTTATGATTATGCTTGCCATTGGTTTTTATTTGGGCAATAGCACATTGTATCATGGCTAGGATGAAATGAATGACAAGTACTTTGGTAGCAACTAGCAAGTTAGTTAGTAGAGATATGCATGATACCTCAGTTTGGGAACCCAGTTCCGCTTCTCAATTATTATTACACATGAACTCAGTGAATTACGCCTTGTACTATAACATCGAGTGAACTAATTATCAATTCTTAACAGATGACAAACATGGTGAGCCACTGTAAAACTAGCAATCTCATCCTCCCTTCGTTTAACAAACTGTGTTATATGCATGATGCTTGCTTGTCAGTTAGGAGAGGTGACCATTGCAAAAACTTTAGCTGGAAATCATAGGGTTCCATCTTTTTTCATTTAGTCTGAAAATTAACTATTGATTATTTTGATTAATGGTTGTCAGAATGCTTTTTACTCCATAAAACAAAATGTATATTGAATTACTTTAAGGGAGAGGGGACTCCAGGTTTAATAAGATGAAATTTACTTGGATATTTGTGAATTATCTTTAATAAATCAAAACCAATCCCTCCTATTCTTCCATCTAAAAACAACAAAATGCACTGCAAAATTTTAAGGGTAAAATGTCTTACGAGGCTTCTCTCAAAGTTGTTTTATAACAAGTGTTTGATCTTCAATTTTGACCTCATTCACATCTGTTTGTTATTGCCCTCAAGTTTTGTTTTTGATTTCTAGTCTTTCATGGTTTGTGCCAGCAATGCAGAGGTCAGGATGTCCTCCCTGAGAAAATTAAAGCAGTGCTGTTGGACACAGCAGGTTCCCATGGTATGATTTGATTGAAGTTCTTGACAAATGCTATCCCAATAGTGGTACTAACTGTAGTTGCTGTAGCATGCAGTTTGTAAACGCCATTGCTTATTCTTGTCTGGAAAGCTGTGTCCAGGCCAAGATGAAACGAGTTAGCTAATATCTAGGTTGAGGAGAAAGCTCCTGTATTTTTCTGAATTTGAGCAAACTTATGTGTATTGATAACCAGTCATGGAATAAATTGTTTTATTTTCATTCTAATTTAGTTCTTTAATAAATTCTAATCTGGCCTATCTAATTTTTAATATGACGCATTCCGCACAGTCCTTATCGTTTGCTATTTATGTTGGAAATAGCCTTCTGATGTTTTGGCACACAAACACCTAAACACGAGTATTGGTGGTTCATTTTTTAGGATTGTGCTCAAGATTTAAGTGGTTTCCGCCGATAAGGAGTTATCTCTTGATATATGATTTTTATTATCCAGGGTTTGGTATTTTGGTATGTTTTAAGTTAACCCGGTAAAGGCGAAAACAATGGTCCGCGGTTCCCCTTTGGGCTTTGGAAATCTTATATTTTTGGGTCAGCATTAGGCGTGAAATATTTTCAGTATGTCCTGAGGTAGTTTGGCCTGACCTGAAGCCTATTAATAAAGCTTACTACAAAATAAAATATTTTAATATTAATAAAAATATAATTATTTTATTATCAAATTAGTTTATATATTTTTAAATTTTTATTTTTGTTATTGATCATTATTAAATAATTGTAATAATTTTTTATATAATTTTATAAATAATTTTTAAAATATTATTTGAGTATTAATTATAAATATTTTTATATTATAAAATTTTTATATTTTTATTTTTTTTAATTTAATTTTATAAAATTATTAAAGTATTAATAATTTTAATTATTTTTTTATGATAAATATATTTTATTTGTATAAACACATCTTATATTCAACAAATAAAATTACAATAAACACAAAATTAATAACAAAAAATAACACTAACAAAATTTATTGAATCAACTAAAAGAGAATTATTATATTTTAAAAAGTAAATAAATATTGTTATTATAAAAATTATAAATAAAAAATATTGATATTATAAAATTCATGGGTGCAGACAAATAACATACGAACATATTAAGAATTAATAAAATTTATATTTAAATTAAAATAACTTATATTTTTAAACTTTTATCTTAATAAAAAAATAAGTTATAAAACTTAATATAAAAATTTAAACTCAATACACTGTGTATATATATATATATAATTAATGACAATAATAACAACTATTAAATTAAAAAAATAATTATAAAATATTTAATTTTATTTATTTTATTAATTTTTTATTTTAAATTAACAAATATACTTAAAATTAACTACATTATAACATTAATATAATATAGAAAATATTACTGATACAATACATTAAAATATATATTTATATATTATATATAAATTCATAAATTAATTAATAATATAATTTTTTATTTATATTTTTTATTTATGTAAATATTTATTAATTATTAAATTTCAAATGTATATTAACAACTATATTTTTTAAGAAAAAATCTATCTACATCTATGTCAAATTTATTAAAAATAATTATTTAAAATTTGATATTTATATTTAGATATATTGTCACGACTCTTTTTTATAAGGAACCGAGAATATTATTTTTACATCACTTACTTATTTAAGATAGATAAATAATAGAGAATATAAGTGTAAGATTCGCTTTTCATTCAAAATAAACAAAGTTCCTAACAATAAATATCCAACAAAATAACATAATATTATATTTAATTCATAATACTTAAATACACAAAAGTTTTACTACATAACTCCCTCTATATAAGATTTCAAAATATAAAAGAAGAGACTTTTTAATGCAAAATCACTCGACTCCAGCTATCTAACAATTATCCACTGGCCCCTCAGCCTGTGAAGTCGATGCAACATCTGCTACATCTGCTCACGTACCACCGTATGATCATCGCAGTACACACGCACACAACAACATAGATATAAATGCAAGGGTGAGCTTACAAAAATAAAATAAAATTATATATAGAGAGAGAACAAAATATTACTCACAGTAACAATCTCATGTATTCCTAGCCTATCTAATGCATAACATGAAAACGATTCTAACTAGTTTCATAACCTAAATAATCCAGAAGGAACTGAGCCGGTTCAGGAGCGATCTATTCCAGTATCTGGATCCAGATAGCACAACTCAACATGCTCTATCGTTACACGTCTATCTACCTAAACATGTAACTCAGCTCTATAATAATGCAAGACATATATCTCAAAATGATGCAGTACAGCTAAAATCATTTCAACAGCTCAGCTAAGATAAGTTTATAATAAATAAGTCAAATCTCAGTGTTATTAAATTAGTTATCAGCAGTTACAGCATAGAAAAATAACTTTCAAGTATTAAATCTTTTATGTCTCAACTTTTATCAAAGAGATTTAACAAAACTAACTCAAACTTTTTTTTAATAGCATATCAAACTGTCCAAAACATAGTTCATAGGCTAAAGTAAGCTCCCTTTATCTTAGAACGATGATTCACACCAGATTTAACGAATGTTATTTATTTTAACGCAAGATTCATCAAAGATTTGGCTTTAGAACAGAGTTTCTCCTAAAAACATCATGAACTTCTATGAGAAAGAGAAGAAGAAGGGAAACAAATGGTGAATCTAACTTCAAACTTAGATAAACTTACTTCAAATCCCTTATAACAGACGCAAAATCATAGATCTGGAGAGAAATCTAAGTTTAGGAGGGTCTACTATGAGAGAAAATTGTAATATATGGCCTTGGAACCTTTGAGAAGTGTAAAGCAATGAAAATTTTGTGAAACCCCTATTTATAGGAAAAAATTTTGAAATTTATTGTTCACGTTGGAAGTACTGTTCACCGACACTGTTTCTTTTTTTTTTTTTTTTTTCAAAACTCCATCTAAATCTATTTCAATACCAAATAGTCATTCAATTAACATTTAGTGAATACAAAATATTATAAATTTTTTTAATAATATATTATAGGCCTGACATGTGTGACTGTATGTTGTGGACTTGGTATTTAATTTTTTTTTTTATAGTAACCTTACTCAAAAAAATTATACCAATAAAAATAAAACACGTAGTAAGTTACAAAAAGTATATATATTATTATATATAATTTATTTAAAATTATATTATTTATATTATTTACTATATGGTCTTATTATATATATACATTGTATATTGAATTTTTTTTATTTTATTTTTTCTATCTTTTTTTATAAAATTTTAGTTTTGAATAAAATATAATTCATATTTAAATAATTTTTATTTATTATAAAGAAAAAGAATTAAACATAATATATTAATTAAATAATTAAATATTAATAATAATAAATTAAGACTATAAAAAATTATATTAATATAATATTATGATTTTATTTTTAAATTTTATTTCGTTTAGTTTTGATTGTGTCTTGTTCCTGTTCAAAAACTTAACCACTCTTTAACTTATTTAAATGTAACAATTATGATAATTTATTATTAAATAACTTTATTATTTAAACATTTTTTGACAACTTTATTTTTAAATTATATATATATATATATATATATATATATATATATATATATAGGCCAGCTTGTTAGGCTTAACAGGCTTTGTAAACAACTCAGGCCTAACTTATTTACTTAAACAGGCCTTCTAAAAAGTCTAAGCCTTGTTTGTTTATTAAAAAGGTCAAACTATATGACATGTTTCCATCCTTTCTTGTGAAAATACTTCTATTAAAAAATTATATTTAAATATCATTTAATTCTTGATAGCTTAAGCAGTGAGAGCTTACATTTATATGATAGGGTTCAAATCCTAGATCTTGAAGAATCTCACATCTCTTTCCCCCTCCCCAATGACCAAAAACATAAACATCATTTAATCTTCCTCTAATATGGCTTAATTGATATTTTAAGATATATGTAATCAGGGAGCAGTTATTTTTGATATTTTAAGTAGTGAGCCTTGGTCTTAGCTAACTGATATCAATAATTTGAGGAAATGTTGGAGGATATTCAGATTGTACATAAGACTCTTGTCATCTATTATTCTCAGTAATAATATTTATCAGAATTCTTTCTACTCTATAGGATTCTCTTTCTCACATAGTTTTTCGAATAGTTATATTTCCTAAAGCTACCTTCATCCTTATCATCCTCTAAAGCAATCAGAAGTAAATGAATGGTTTGGATGAATTTTGAATTTTAGTAATAGATGGATAAAATAACATTCTCCAGATACCATAAATAAAATTTGGAATTAACCAAATCAAACTCATTAGTTGACAAAATCTTCATTCGAACACGTTAGGTTAGCAAGGCATGTTGTAGTCAAAGCTAGAAAGAGGCATACAATACTTTTGTTCTCGGTCAGAAGAAGCATACAATACTAGTTGAAGAAAAAATTTAGGGGGAGGGGATATTTCTAAGTAAGCTAAATCAAAATTTGGGCCTTGAGGTTATTGAATTATGTCCAAAGTATTTAATGAAAATATTTTTTATTCTTTTTGTTTTTTTATTAGTTGCATCACTTTTTTTAGTACTTTCAGATAATGTATTTTGAAAAATAATTTATAAGAGTAATTATAAATTTAAAAAATTTAAATTATATCTTTTAAAATCAAATTGTAGAAATCATTTGTAAAATTTATAATATATTAAGTATACTTTAAAAAATCAAATTCTTAAAGTGAAAAAAAGTGGGGCAAATAAAAGAAAAATAAATAGAAGTTTCAATTTTCAATATTCAGTTGTGGCAAAGAATAAGGTTTTGACCATATAAAAGGATAATTCTTTCTTAGATTTTAGGAATAACAATAGGAACTAAAGGAGGAAGGTATTGTATAGCACCTTATTTTATTTTATTGTTAAAAACTATAAATACAAGTTTTATGCATAATTGATAGAATTTATTTTTATGATAAATTTTATTTTGATGTTTAGTTGATTGGATAAGAAAATAATAATTTGAATCTTGCAAAAATTTATAGTGTGATCCTGAATTAAGCTACTCTATACCGTACAGTAATATTATAATTGCAATTTGGCGTCAACATCAAAATTTCAAATGCTTAAAATATTATAAGGTAATGTATATCAATGGCACCAAATCCATCAATACATTCTACATAGTAATATCATTTAAAATTAATTTCAACGTAAACTCAGAGTGTCATGTTCGATGG